CGGGAGGGGGGGGAGGGGTTGGGAGGGGGTTAACGCCCCCTGAGCAATCAGCAGCAGCAGGCGGGGATTTAATTGTGTGCTTCCAAAACATTAAAGTTCGGTTTAGTGCCATTTCTCGCTTTGTGAAGTTGATTTTACCTTCCGAAGTTCGGTTTGTCGTCAGCGGGCTCAGCCGTTCTCTGCAGGTATTTGGAAACTTGGCGGCATCTCGCAATGGGCGGGTAAAACTCGCCCTTGGGCAGCATAGAAATCAAAATATGCGGCAGGTGCAATTCCATTTAGTTTACAAAGTCACTTAAATAAATATAAGTGTGTTTTTAGCTTCGATATGGGGGCCGCCCTTCCCCGCCTGTCGGCCGGTCTGCGAGAGCAGCAGCACTTGCAGCGGCGCAGTATGCAGATGTCTGCCCCCCGGGGACTGAGGGCCCCTTTTTGTTTCTTGTGTGCATGTTTTCACTAAGGCTTAGATTTAATCAGGTATATTAATGCATCTGATTATTCTTTGGAACACTTCTTGTGCAGCGCGTGCGGCTTGCTCCTATGACGCGTGCAGGGGTCCACTCCGTGCCGGCGTTGTGTGTGGGCTGCAGACCACTCCAACCACTCTTTTTGTTTGTTGCTCTTGGGCTCTTTCTTTCGTTGGTTTCCCCGAAAGAAGGTTCAAAATACCGAAAATAAACGTAGGCCATATCATTAAATGCTTCAAGATATCCTGTTTACTCTCGAACAGCTCAGTGTCACGTCGGCGTCCTCTTGGGTCACCTGCAGCGACTTCGCCACAGCGCCACCAAGGCAGCCGCTGTCTGCAGTACATCTCTTGAAGCTGCACGAGCTCTTGTACTTAATGGTGGGTGCTGCTGTTCGCCAACTGTGGAGTACGCAGTCGCTTCACCAAGCCCTCCCATTAGCTCAGGCCAATCGTAGCCAGTAACCTCGCCGCAGAGACCTCTCCAATCTTCAGATTCTGCAGAGGAAGAAGAAAAAGGTACGGCAGTGATGAGCACGAACAGAAGGGATGGAGTTCTCTCGCTCACAAGGAATGAACCCGCAAGCGCCAGTCGGAGGGGAAACCCCTCTAAACCCCGTGACATTTTCTGAAGCGGACCAAGGTCCTGTGGACATCGAAAGGGGTCCCTCAGAAGGGGGCCCTCAGGACAACGAACGCACCCTCCACACAACAGCTGACGGACAAACTCTCAGCACTCCAGCACAGCAGGGCTCCTCCCGCGAGCCCCTCGCCAACCTAGGCTCCACGCTGCTGCGCTCCCGCAGCAGCCAGACCTCAGGCGCAACACTAAACCCCCCTCCACAAAGTTCTCTGCAAGGGGGCCCCCAGGGAGAGCTAAGAGGGGCCCCCCAGGAGTCCTTGGGGGCGGGCCTCCTGAGGACACCACAAGGGAACGCAGATATGTCCGGAGATTCGCGTACGTCGGGTTTTTCTTTATATTCTTCATCTGAGTTGCAGAAATACGCAGCTTATGATGCGGATTTGTTCGAAGCTCTGGATAGGTCTCGATGCTGCTGCCGGTGGGGTCCGATTGCAGCATTTGCTGCCAAGCATGCAGCACAGCAGTCTGCACTGACAGCAAAGGGAATTGAAAAGTACCTCCAAAGAAGGGCCCACCTATACAGGGAAACTGACGATCTGCTTCTGTGTCTGGGAGGCCTCATGGACTTCGAAGCAGCAGCTGCTGCTGCTGTTGCTGCTGCTGCTCCTCCTTCTGCTGCAACAGGGGACGCTGCGTCTCCGTCTAGAGGGGGAGAGGAAGAAGAGGAGCATCCACGCCAGCAAGCCACCAGCAGCACCAGCAACAGCAGCAGCAGCAAGGAGCTGCAACGGCGTGCGTTGAAGTGGACAACAAAAAAGCTGCGTTGCATGTGCGACGATTCCCTCGCTGGACAACCAGTCCTCCTTGAAGGCCCGATCTCGCTCAAGTGCTGTCTTCTTCGTGAGGCATTCGGAGCGGTTGTTCGCCAGGGTTTGGTGCGCCTCTCCTACACCCTAGACCGTAAACCCTATAGGCACTCACCTCTCAGTCTCAGACACCAGCGCTGGGTTCTGGGGAAATCAGTTGTGAAACCTTGTACACCAAACCCTAATCTGTAAACCCTAAGGCCTCCAACGTAAACCCTACACAGTAAAGTGTGTATCGTAACCCCTACAACATGGAGGTCCTAAATCGTAAACCCTAAATCATGCATTCTACAGGCGAATCCATACCGCCTAAAATGTACATCCTAGTAAATTCTTGGAACGAAAAGTACCAAAAGCCACTTTCTTGCGTCTGGGTCTGTCGGGTGTCGCAGAGGAACAAACATTTCTTCTGGGAGGCCCCTACGGTAGGACGGGATCCGAAGCCACCCCTCTCAGGAGAGTCCAGCAGCAGCAGAAGCAGCAAGGACAGCACCAGTGAGACGCTTCGTTGGAAACGAAGGGCTGAGGTTTTACAAGATATATTTCATGCTGAGGGAGGCAACAAGGAGCTTCTGCAGCAGCTTTTGCAGCGGGTGCGGGAACTACCAGATCTTGATATGCCCTTTGGAGGGCCCCTCAGTGGGGGCCCCTTAATGGCCGACAGGCCAGAACCTGCAACTACCACATGCTCATTGGAGTCTTCGTCTGCAGCAGAAGCAGCAGAGGCAACGGATCCCACGCAGCAGCAACGCAACCGCCAGCAGCTGCGTGTAAGCGCAGACCCACATGTTGCAGCCGTTGCAGCAATAGGAGCAGCAGAAATCGTGGACTCTTCTGCAGGAGAGGCCATACCAAATGATGCCGCGATTGGCACTGCTGCTGCTGCTCCTCCGAGTGCCGTTGCAAGTGGTACTACGCTTCAAGAGTCTATCATCACAAAGGCAGAAGACAGCAGCGGACCGGAAGGGTTTAGGTGTTCGCGGTCTCTGCTGCGGCTGCTGTTGCATATTGCACAGCAGCACTTGCTTCAGCACCGCATCTGTCTGAGGTCCCCTACTGCAAGGAAATCCGTTTCTGCTGCTGCTGCTTCTTGTGCTACTCCGGGACCCAACCAGGATCCGGACGACGCGTACCCAGCACAGTCAGCTGCACCACCTGCACACAGCAGTTGCAGCAGCAGCAGCAAAAGCTCACTAGGGGGCCCCATGAGCCCTTCAAAACCGCCTAAGCTTCCCCAGTACAACAGAAGAAAACAGACACACGACCGTATATGTCACGCAGCCATTGCAGCACCTGGCACTGATGTCTGCTTAGCTGCAGCACCAGAGGATGCTGCTGAAGCAGGAGGAGCAGCTCCAGCATCCCAAGAAGGCACACAGTCTGCTGAAGCCGCTGCAATACCAGCTGCTCGCGTGGGCCTCCAGGGGCAAAGATGTGACGACGGGCCGATACCTGAAGGTGAGCAGCAGGCAAAGAAAACAGATCCAGGCCCCACACCGGCATCTCCCACACCACCGCAAGCTGCTGCTGCTGCTGCGGTTGCTACTACTGGTGCTGTTGCAGACGATAGCCAGCGAGCTTTATCAACTGCCCAAGATGCATGGGACCTGCCGCACGATGTTGCGGCTGCTTCAGCAGCATCGCAGCCACAGGGGAGGCAGCCGCCGCTTCTCCTAGACGCTGCCACAGTTGGTGCAGCTGCAGCATCAGCAGCATCAGCAAGAGCAGCAGCTAGGGTATCCGTGCCTTGGGGCCCCCATGATCCCCGCCCCATCAGTGAGGGGACAGGAAGGAGCGCCTGCATGGTGCTGCAGCGCATTGCTGTGCGGCTGTTGTTTGCTGTTGCCCTGTGCAGCAGCAGATACACCGCACCTGTGCATGAGCTGCAACGGTTCGTTGCTGCTGTTGCTGCTGCTGTCAAGCCCTGTCTAGCAGCTATAAGGGAAGTCGGTGAGCGCATGCGCTCGCCACAACGCCATCAACAGCCGGTGCAGCAGCAGGAGCAGCAACAGGAGCAGCAACAGGAGCAGCATGGGCAGCACGGGTGCTGCACGGGTGTACCTAACGTAGAAGGAACTCTGTTAGACTACGTTGTTGTGCCTCTCTGTTATGGCCTGGCGGTTGTATCTGCCTGCCCCCTTCTCGGGAAGCTGCAGCAGAATGCTGCAGCAGAACTTTATGGGATACTTCTGGATGCTGATGCTGCAGTATACGCACACCCTCTGCTGCGGCAGCTAGCTGAAGCACTCAGCTCTGAAAACAGCTGCAAGCAGTTTCAAGAAACTCCGCACCCCGCGCACCAGCAACGGCAGCAACCGCAACAGCAACAGCAACAGCTGCAACAGCAGCAAATATGTCAGCCTGGTGGGGCATCCATTGCTACTCATGTTGCCTTGCCCCTGTTACTTTGACCTCTGCGCACAAGATGCTGCTTCGAAGTTATTCGCTGGTTCTGCTGCTGCTGTGACTGCTGCTGCGGAAGCTGGATGGAGCCTGATGCTGATCCTGCTGTTGCTACTGCTGCTGCTGCTGCTATTTCTGCGCGTGCTGTTGTTGCGGTTGCTGCAGGATTTGACCCCCATCCACCTTTGCACCCGCTGCTGCGAGTTGTCGAGACTCCTCATCCTTATTCGCGGCAGCATGCTGCATGGACGGAGGAGGCAGCAGCAGCGTGGGCCAGCAGCAGAGGTGTACGACTAACGCAGCAGCAGCAGGATCAGCAGCAGCAGCAGCAGCAGCAGCAGCACTTCTTTTATGCATATCAAGCGTGCTTACCTGCTGCTTCACACATCATTCTCCTGTTCGACCCCAAGTGCGAAACAGAGGGCCCTCATGATTCTCTTTGGGTAAGGACCCCTAACAAGGAGACACTGCCATAATAAATGGTTGTCTCTGTGTCTCTTGTGTCTCTTAAAGTGTCTTCTTTTTTCTTGTGTTGCCCTAACCTTCTCTCCTACTCTTGAACGTCTCTGTGGGCAGCATTAACAGGAACAACGGTGGCGGCCGCGGCCAGCGCTGCTCCTCCTGCTGAGGTTGCTGCTGCTGTGCGGGGATGCACCTGCACTACGCTGCTGTCAATTTCCCTTAGGAGACAGGAGACTGTGTGCCTTCAACAAAGCCATTTGTTTCTTATCTGCAGGTGTTTCGAGGTCGTTGGTCTTGTGCCCCCTCTGAAATACCTCCGGAGTGTCTCCTTGCTGGTCCCTTCAGCGGCAGCAGCACAGACGAGGCAGGGGGCCCCTTCGGGGGACCATTTGGGGGCTCCGCCTCTCCTGGGGGCGCCCCCTTTCCTCAGCAACCTCTCGTTATCGAGGCACACACCATCTCCTTTGTTTTCACTGTTGCGGATAAACCCCCTCCCTCTTTTGCCTCCAGCTGCAGACCCAAGGGGCCCCTATGGGGCTTCAAGGTATACTGTGTGGGGCAGCAGTGGTCCCTGCCGCTGGCAGCAGCAGAAGCAGCAGAAGCTGCTGCTGCCGTGGCAGCAGCACAAGAACAAACCTGCAGGGGACGGACACTACTAGCAACCCATCAACAAGAAAAGGAGGTCTCATCGCACCGGGAGGCATCTCAAGCTGACAACAGCAGCAGCAGTAGCAGCAGCAGCAGCAGCATCGGCGTCATTGGTAGTGTTGGGGACCCTTTGTGTGTCTCTTCGTATGGACGGGTACTTAAGGAAAACGGCCTGCATGTGTTAGTGGAGTTTGTATTTGCGTGCAGTGCTGCTGTTGCTGCAGCAACCGCAGCGTTGTTGAGGGGTTCTGCTGCTGCTGCTCATGAGCAGCAGCTAGGAGGGGCCCTCAGCTCTCTCCTATTTGCAGGGGGATACAGGAGGGAGAGACGCCCCTGTGTCCGTCGGCTGCTGTCGCGCTGCAACGAGCAACACCAACGGACGTCTTTTATCCTCCCTTTGCTGCAGCCATGGAAAGGAGACAGGCACAGGCAGCAGCGGCGGGAGATGGGCCCCTCCCCGTTTACAGACACCGACACAATCGGCAGTACCCGTCGCAGTCGCGATCTCCTCTACGACAGCAACCGGCTGCAGAGGCTGCAGCATCGGCGGCAGGTGCAACACAAGCACAACAATACACAACAACGCGCAGCAGGCGACTGTTCCCCCCACCATTCAGGATGTCCCTCTGAGGGGCCTGCTGGAGGGCCCCGTAGGGGCCCCTCAGGGGGCCCTGCGGACGCCTACTTGGAGGATGCTGCAACTCCAGCGTTTGGCCTCGCCCATCCAGGGAGCAGCAACAAGCTACCCGAAGCGGCTCAGGAGGGGACCTTCGAGGGGACCTTACAAACGCAGGGGACCCCCTGGTGCCCGTCGAAGGAAGCGCTTTATGGAGGAGAAGCACAGCAAATTTCTGCTGCTGGAACATTATCCCAAAATGGTAGTAGTCGAGGAGGTCTAGCAGCAGCATATGCAGGTGAAGCAGCTGCTGCTGCTGGTGCGGGAGGAGAAGACTGCTGCTGCAGGCAAGAGCTGCTGTCGCATGCACTGGTGCTGGGGGGGCCCTGGGAGCCCGAGCTTCAGCACCTGAGGGCCCACCCTGAGGGCATTTTGTACAGCGTGTGGGTCGGAAGTCCTTTAGGGAGGCCCCTTGTCATGGTACTGGAGGCTGCAGCAGCTATCTTCAGCAGGAGGGGCCCTCCTCCTTCCCTTGGTACAAGCAGCAGGCCCTTTGCACCAGGGGCCCTCGTTAGCGATACTGTAGGGGGTCTCAGTCTGCAGCGAGCTATCAAGGCCTACTGCTGTTGCTTGCTGCACCACCTGCACATGCACAAGCTGCTGTTATCGTTGCTGTGGGCTCTTCTGAAGCGAACACCCGAACTCGTAGACACAGCAGCAGCAGCCGCTACTGCAACACACAACAACAGCAGCAGCAGAAATAGCAACAGCATGAGCAGGCTGGATGCACTTGTGAAGGTGCAAGCCTCGTGGCTTGCTGAGCAGGAGCACTTTGCTGCTCTCGTGTTCGTCTGGGCGGGGGGCCGCACGCTAAGGCAGTGGGCAGTAGGGGAGAGACAGCGGGCGGTGCTGGCAGCGGAAGTCAAGAGGCGAGACCTTGCTGCTGCTGCTGCTGCGACGCCCAGTGAGCTGGCGAGTGGGGGAAAACAGAGACACCACCAGGTGCTGCAGCAGTTGCTGCACCAACAGACCCTCTCCTGCTACTCTTTCTGGGCTGCAGTCCTCTTAAGCAAGGCAGCGCTCTTAATGCGGCTTAAACCATATTCTATAAGACAACGAAAAAAGGAAGAGGGGCTCCTTCCTTACAGTCTGGTACCGGCAGGGCTTCAGCCTCTGCGAACAGCAGCAGCAGCAACAACAACGGCAGCACACGCCTTTCGAGGGGGGTTGCACCTTCCTAGCCGCATGCTGCAAGAGGGTCTCTGTAGCAGCAGCAGCAGCAAATGCAGCTGCAACGGCGACATACCCATCCCTCTCAGCAGCAGCTTCACCCAGCTCAGCAGTCACTGCAGCAGTGACAGTCTCACGCTGCATGCCTCAGAGGCAGACCATCTTCCTGCTGCTGCTACTGCTGGTGCCTCTGCTGCTGCTGCCTCTGCTTGTCCTACTCGACGCAATTCCCTCTCGTCCACGCCTGCCTCAGCGCTGCACTCCGCAATTGCAACCCCAGCAGCGGCGGCAGCAGCTAGAGCAGCAGCAGCAGAAGCTGCTCCTGCGGGGACTGTCAGGCAGGATTCAGATACAGAGGAGACAGAAGAAGAGTACAATCATCACACTCTTGCTAAAGTCCTCGCGTCCCTCACTGCCTTTAATGGCAGGGGGATTCTCATGCCTCTAGGGCCAAGAAACGCTATCCCCAGCACCAAACTTGCAGCAGCAGCAGCTGCTGCAGCTGCAGCTGCTGCTCTAGGAACTGCCTCACCGACGAAAAGGACTATTGCTGCCTGGAAACACATGCAAAGATGCAGGGCAGCAACTCGGTTGCACCAGCAGCAGATGCAACAGCAGGAGGAGGAGGCTGCAGCCAGAAGCGTCTCCCATGGTATTGCTGCAGTGTTTTTTGCTGCTCCTCCTGCGCTGCCACCAACAGCAGCACGGGGCCTTGCTGCTGCGGTGAGGGCTGTGCAAGCAGCAGCAGCAGCATCAGCTGCTGCTGCTGTAGCCTGCAGCACGGACAGACAGCCGGACGCGCACCAGCAGAAGCAGTTAACGTCCCTAATCGCTGCTGCTGCTGCGTCAGCTGCAGCTGCGGTTCGTTCTGCATGCACTGCAGCAGCAAGTGCAGCAACGGCAGCGGCAGGGCCCACAGCTGTTGCTGACTCTCCTGGAGCTGATACTGCAGCAGCTGCTGCTGCTGCCCCGGTGGGAATACTCGATACTTCCCTCGTTGGAGGACCACTGCAGCAGCTGCTGCTGGTTCAGTGCATCGGCAGAGCAGCAGCAGAAGCAACAAAAGAGATGGTGAAGGAAGTGACAGCCGCTTCTGGTGCCACTGCTGCTGCTGCTGCCTCTGCTGCACCAGCACTCTCCCTGCAGCGACCACGCGGAGCAGCCTCTCACGTAAACTCGGCAGCACCGAGAATGTCAGAAGCAGCCGCAGCAGGAGGATCAACAGCACCAGCAGTAGCAGACTCTGAGGATAGTGGTACCAAGCAGTCGATTCATGATGTGTTTGTTGCTGCCACAGAACAAGCTGCTGCTGCTGCAGCTGCTGCTAAGGAAGCGGAAGACGAGGCAGCAGCATGTGCTGCTTCTCCTGCAGGACCCCAAGATGATTTGAGCTGTTTGGCTTACGTGCTGCGGCAAAGGAGGCTGCGGGCGGAGGGGATGCTGCAGGGTTTGGATTTGCTGCAGCATGCGCTGCTGTCTCTGCAGGGACCCCTGCCGCTGCGTCTGCTGCTGCTGGTGCTGCGGTCAATGGGCAGAGAGCAGCCCCTCGGTGTGCCCGTCCCCTTCTGGGGTCCCCAGGCGGACAGCTGCACGCACGACGGCATGCAGCTGGATCCTGCACAGGCCTTACGGTGGCGGGGCTGCAGCAACAGCAGCAGCAACAGGAGCAGCAGCAGTGAGCCGTGCTTGCCTCTTTACCCTCTCTTCAGACCTTATGAATTCTCCGTAGCTGTAAGAGATACCCCAGAGGGAGAAGAACAGAGACAGCAGGGAGACCTCTTCTCTTCTGTAAGGGGTTGTGGGGTACAGCTGGAGAGACAGCTCCAGCTGTTCTACTGTCGGGCCGTTGCTGTGGCAGTGCTTCTAGCAGACACCCAAAAGCAGCAGCAGCAACAGCAACAGCAACAACAGCAGCTGCAGCAAGAGCTGCCGCTGCCGCCGCAACAGCATGCCACATATGTGCCGTACAAAAGCCACAAATCGCCCTCACAGCGAGAGTCAAGTTTAAGCTTTGAACGTGCTGCTGGTGCTTCCGCTGGTGCTTCTGCTGGTGCTTCTGCTGCTGCTTCTTCCCTTGTCGTTGATGCTGCTGCTTCTTTATATACGTCAGAGCAGCGTTCGCTGCAGCACTGCTTGACCGTATGCTACACTGCCATGTCTGTTATGGGCTTTGTCCCCTTGGTTGAAGGAGAGACGCTGGCGTTGCAGCAAGTTGGTTTGCTTGACGCAGCATTTGCTGGTGCTCTCCCAACACAACAGCCGCAACAACAGCAGAAGCAACAGCAGCAACCTGTCTTGGCTCCTCCACCCTACAGCCGGTTGCTGCTACTGCTCATTATATGCCTCAGGGCTGCAGAAGCAGGGCAACAGCCTCGGGTGGCTGCCCTCCGGTGCTGTGCCGATTTGTTGTTAATTGCAGCTCTGCAAACAGCAGCAGCAAGACTTGCTCCTCACCCGCAACTGCAACCGCACCAGCAACCACCTGCTGTCAAGGAAGTGGCATTTTTCCTTTCCTGGGAATCAACCGCTCATCTGCTTGCCGTTCTTCTGATTCTTCTCCTCTCGAAGACGTTCACATCAGACTCGGGGGCCCTTCAGCAGCAGCACCGAATAGCAACAACAGCAGCAGGAGCAGCAATACCGGCAACAGCACCCACATCGAGAACAGTAACAGCCACAGACGCAGCAGAAGCAGAAGGGTCTGCAGGTACGACTCCTGCTGCCTTTTCCGCAGCAGCGTATGACTACTGGCCTCCCTTCACAAGGGCACAGCCAGCGTATACACCGATTGGCTGCTGCAGCCGCAGCAGCAGCTTGGACTGCGTCTCGTGGGGCCCCACAACTTGCTGCCTCCAGTCAGTTCTGTCATCAGATGCACTTAGTGCTGCAGTGGCTTTGCTGCTGGCGGCGGGCAGCCCCAGACTGCAGCGGCAGGCAGTCATGCTGCTGCAGCTGCTGCTGCCGCTCAGCAGCCAGCAGCAAGCAGCAACATTTTTGTTGCCAGCCCTGAAGGCCCTTGCTGAGGGCCCCTCTCTCTCCCCTGGGGCCCTCCGAGATGTTTTGCTGAACGCTGTTGCTGTTGCTGCTAATCGCCGAGGCTGCTACTTTTTCAGTCCCACAACAGCAATGCATCAGCAGCTGCAGCAGCAGCGCCAGTTGGAGCAGCAGCTGCACTTCATGCTGCTTCACCACAAACAACCGGGGGCCTCCTTGACTTCCGCATCTGCATCGTGGAGCCCCATCTCCGTTGCTTCATCGTCATCAAGGCCTCTGGCAGCCATAGCAGTAGCAGCTGCAGAAACAGCAGAGGACGAGGTGGGCCGCGGCAGCGGCCTTGCCTCTTGTGTGCCCTCCCTGGGGTTGTCTCCCCAAAGGTGCAGCGGAGACGACGACAGCAGCAGCAGCAGTACCAGCAGTAGGACCACCAGCAACAGCGCAGCACAACTTGTAGAGAGCCTCCTTGCAGCTATTGGTTGTGGTGTGGCGGTGTGCAACCCCGATGTGATCGCCACTGCAACAATGCAGCAGCTCAGTGCAGAAGCAGCAGCACCAGCAGCAAGATACTCACAACCAGCGCAAGATAGCAGCAGCAGCATCAGCAGCAGTTCGTTGCGGCTGCTAGTATCTCCTATGGCCTTTCCTCTGGGGGAGTGTTCATCAGGGCTTTCGCAGCTGTCTCGACACTGGGAGGAGCACCTACTGCATCAGTTGGCTCACCGCAACGACGCGTTGTACAGTCTTAGCAGTAGTAGCAGCAGCAGCGACAGCACCAGCATCCCCGCTTCCCTGCTCGCTCACACCCGCACAGCTAGACAGCAGGGGGCACTGTCTCTAGACCTGAGGGGACTCCTGCTGCAGCTGCTGCGATGCTGTCAGTGGGGGGCCCCCATTAGGCAGCGCCTGCTGCAGGCCATATCCTTCAGCAGCAAACTGCTGGAGGAAGGGTCTCACGTGTTGCTGCAGCGAGCAACAGACCACGCGAAGCAAAGACTGCATGTGCTACTGCAGCAGCAGCAACAACAGCATGACCTGCAGCAGTACCTCCAGCCAACACACGTGCAACCTACGCAGCAGCAAGAGAAGGCGCTGCTGCAAAGGGAGCAGACAACGCAGAAGCAAAACAAGCTGAAAAGACAGCTGGAGACCCCGCACCAGGAGCATCAGCAACACGATCTTCGAACAACACTGGAGGACTTCTCGGAGCCAGTCGAACACAGTTCACTCTACGTCCCGCAGCAACAACAGCAGCAACAGCAGTGGCGGCAGCAGCAGCAACAAGAGCAGCAGCAAGCCCATCATAATCATCACCATCACCAGCACAATCACTACCACCACCACGTGCAACACCCCCCCCTCCATCTAGACCCTTGCAGGTGCCTAGTTGATGCAAGCACCGCAGCGGGGAATGCAGTGGCAGCAGCAGCAGCAGCAGCGGGCGAAGAAGCAGCAGCATGCATGGTTGGGGAGGGGGCCTCCATATGGGGCCTGGCGGTCTGTGAGGCGCTTGGGGCCCTTGCAGTGCTTGGGGGCTCTCCCGAGTTCTTAAGGGTCGGGAGTTCCTTAAAATCAGACAGCAGCAACAACAGCGAGCTGCTGCAGCAGCAGCTGCTCCTGCAGCACCAGAGCAGCAGAGTCGCGATGCTGTCGAGGTACGAAGGACTCGCCGTGCTGCAGGTCGACGAAGGAGACAGACCCGCGCTGCAACTTAATCACGTTACTGCAGCAACAGCAGCTAACATTTGCGAAACAGACGGACAGGCTATTGCAGACTTGCTGCTCAGGGGATCAGAACAGCAGCAAAAGCAGCAGCAGCAGCAGGAGCAACTGCAGCAGCAGGACGCAAGCGAACCGAGGAGGCACGTTAGGGATCCGAGCAAAACGGGGCGGACAGCAACGTCAGCTGCAACAGCAAGAGGAGGATCGGCATCGGCAGCAGCAGCAACAGCAACGGCAGCAGATGGAAACACTGCAGTGTCAGTGCAGATAACAGAGACAGAAGCGCTGCTGAAAGAAATCGTGCGACTGACGCTAGCAGCAGAACAGGGACTTCTTGAAGAGTCTCCCAATTCGTGTGCTGCTGCTAGCTGCAGCAAAGCAAAGCCAACAACAACAACAACAACAACAACAACTGCAGCACAAGAAACAGCAGCCGATCGGGTGGCTTGGCTGCCTGCTGGGCGCGTGGCTTCACTGCTGTTGCTGCAGCTACGGACTATGGCTCTGTCTGCTGTAAGCGAGCTGTTGCAGAGTCAGCGAGTCGCTGCTTCGCTGCTGCAACAGCAGCAGCTGCTTCAGTCCTTGTTGGTCGTCTGCCTCCGCCCCATCTCTGTACCCTACTTAGAGGGACTAGAAGAGCTTCGTGGGCTCTCGTTGCGGCTGCGGCAGCTGCTACGTGACAGGCTACATGGCTCTTTGGCTATAGAGAACCGTTTGTTGCTGCGGGAGGCAGCAGCAGACTTGCTGCAGCACTCGCCGTTTGCAGGTCTCCCGTTGCTGCTGCCAACTGCGTGGGAGCGACGCACAGCTCAAGGGCTTGTCTGCCCCCCAGAGGACTGGACTGTGCTGCTGCAACCCCAAGAAGAGCCGCACCAGCTGCAGCCACAGGAGCAACAAGAGCACCAGCAGCAACGACAGCAGCCGCAACAGCAGCGGCAGCAAGGTGAGACATGCCCAGAGAACAGCCAATTGCCAGCGGTAACTCCTTTCAACACAGGAGATACGGACGAGGCACTGTGCGACAAGCAGCAACAGCATGAGCAACAGCAGCAGCATCATCAGCAGCAAGAAGATGATTTGCTGCTGCTACCTGAAGCTCCTGTGACCTGCAGCGCCGGAGGGCAAAGTCTGTCTGATACTCTCTTTTATGCCGGAGCAGCAAAACAGCCAGTTGATACTGCAGCAGCAGCAGCAACTGCTGCCAAGGAAGCGGCAGCTGCTGCGGACGACGAAGCAGAGGCAGCAGAAAAGGAAGCGCAAGCTGCTTCAACGCAGTGCAGTCAGCTGGCGAGTGCTGCGCAGGCCAACAGGGCCATTCCCACATCTTTACCTGTCTACTACTTCGAGGTGTACATAGAAAAGGATATAGAGCAGCAGCAGCAGCAGCAGCAGGAGCTGGAGAAAAGGCAGCACTGCAGCACATGTGGAACGTTGTGCGAGACAACAGGAAGGCGAGAGGCAGCAGCGTCTTTGGAGTATGCGTTTGCACGCACTCCGAAGCAACAGCAGCATACTGGGTGTTCTGATGCCTGCTGTATCTGCAGCAGCAACTGTAGCAGCAGCACCAGCGAGGAATACGGCAATAGCGGTAGCACTGGGTACCCTCTGGTAGCTGTGGGTCTGCACGTAGACGGATGCGTTCTTAAGACGGGCGACAGCAGCATCAGCAGCGGTTATCTTTACTGCAGCAGCGGGTTGCTACTGCACGGTGCTTCTGCAGCAACAGCAGTAGCAGGTTATGCTGCTCCATATGGCAGGGGAGACACAGTAGGGGTTTTACTTAACAGCAGACAACGCTGCATCTCCTTTACTAAGAACGGCTCCCTCCTTAGAGTTTTGCCGTGGAGCAGCAGCAGCAGCAGCAAAAGTAATTCCAACAAATGCAGCAGCAGCCCAAACAACAATAACGGCAGCAGCAGCAGCAGGCACGCCTTCACCGCCTTCGGAGAGGTGCGAGGGTGCTTCCGTCCAGCTGTATGGGCTGCACGTTGCAGTAATGGGGGGCCCCTCTGCCTAAGAGCCAACTTCGGGAGGGGGCCATTTCTGTACCCTTTTGCCTCCTCCATAGACTCTGCAGACATGCAGCAGCTGTTTGTTGATATGGGTCTGCCGCTGACTTCTCTGCAGCTGCCTGCGCCACTGCTGGTGTCTGCGACAAGCAGCAGTAGCAGCAGCAGCAGCAACAGTGACAGCAATGGTGAGTCTGCAGCTGCAGCAGCGGTTGTTGCAGCATCCGCGTCTAACGCCACTGCAGCAGAAACCCCAGGGCCCCAGGAGACAGGCACTGCGAGGGTCTCCGTGGGTGTTTCCTCCGGTGTCCCATCTGGTGTCTCTGTTGTAGGGGGAGGGGGACGGCAGGGGCCCCTTGGGGCCCTTAGCGAGGAGGCTCTGCAGCGGCGTGCTGCAGCAGAGACACTACGAGATATGATGGGTAGCGGACTCTTTCCTCTAGGTCTTTGTGTCTCCGCCTTAAGACTTCAAGGAGACGATCTACAAGCAGCAGCAGAATGGCTCCTTACTAGTGGTGTCTCCGAGCTTGAGGCTATGCAGTTGCGCTTCTTAGAGGAAGCAGACCTGCCAGAGGAAACACAGCAGCAGCAGGAGCAGCAACAGCAACAGCAACAGCACGAAGAACTTCAACAAGATGCAGCAATCGCAGAAAGGGCCGAAGATGCATTGGACAGCAACGACAGCAACGACGATAGCAACAGCCCTAACAATGGCAACAGATCGAACAGCAGCAACACCAACAACAGCAGCAGTAGCAGCAGTGCAGAAGGAGAGGAGGCCTCTGCAAGTACAGATGAATCCGCCGGCGCCTCAATCTACTCAATGATGCAGCAAGCCAGTGAGCAGGTGGCCCCAGAATTTCAAAGAGACGAAACCCTCAGCAACAGCAGCAACAGCAGCAGCAGTTGCAGCTGCTGCAACAGCAGTAACTTGTCTGACGAGATTGCTGCAGCAGTTCTGAGGAGCACCAAGTGGTACGACGACCTGTTATCAGCAGCTGTCCGGCACCCCGGGGGTGGCGTGTCTTCGGCTACTGCTGCTGCTACTGCTGCTGCTGCTGCTGCTGCATGCGGGCGGGGTTGGCGGTGTCAGCTACAAGCAATGGATGGCGCTGGAGAGCTGCAGCTGTTGGGGCCTAAGGAGTTAAGGCTAGGCCTCCTGGTGCGCGTACACCCCGCAGCAGCATCGCTTGTTCACGGGGTCATCGTCATTCCCGAAGCAGCAGCAGACCCAGCAGCAGCAACAGCAGCAACAGCAGCAACAGCAGCAACAGCAGCAACAGCAGCAACAGCAACACCAGCAACAGATAATACTAGGCCCTTCGTTGCAGTAGAGAGTGTGTGTCCCCAAAGCACCTGCAGCAGCAGCACCACCAACAGCAGCAGCATCAACATGTATGAGTCAACAGCTCGTCGTGCCGTACGGGAGTTGATCCTGTCAGCGTCGGTGTCCGCTGTTAAGAGCAGTAGCAACAGCAGCATCAGCAGGGGATTGGTAACAACTCCAATTATTGAAGGACTCGTGGCCACGGCAACAGGAGATGTGATGCTGCTGGAGGGCCTCGCAGGACGTTGTGGCTTTATCTGGCAGATTGACGGCTTGGAGGAACTGCGGTTAGCAGCAGGAGACAAAACTGGCAACGGCAGGGGCAGCAGCAGCTTAACTGGGTTTCCAACTGTGGTACTAGAGGTAGAAGATGAGGAAACCGGGGTTCGGAGGCTCTTCAGGCTTCCTCAGACAGTCCTTTGTAGGGCGGGGCCCCCATGGGGGCCCTTGCATGGGTTAGAGGCCCTTCTTGAGGGCCTCAGCGAGTTGACACCCCAGGCTGCAAAAGGGTACTCCGGTGCAGCTGGGGGACCCTCGATCCGTTTGCTGCTCTCCCTGCTGGAGAAGCTTGAAGGAGCAGTTGCCGGCCTCCAGGTCTGCCATAAGTGTCTTGTGTAGCCGCGGCTGTGATTATGAGGGTTTAGAGTTTAGGGTTTGCTGGGTGTCGAGGGGGAAGGAGTGAGGCTGTGGGGATTGGCTATGGGGAGCTGTATAGGCATCTGCTGCTGCAGCAGCAGCACCTTCTGCTCCTGCAACAGGCTGTTATTTCACGTGTCCTCCTTCTTGCCTGTTATTTCAGGTGCGTCAGGCTCTGAGGAGAATGCTGGAAGCATTTCAAGGGGACCCTGGGGGCCCCTTGGGGAGCCCCCTGCGGGGCCCCCTTGAGCGCCCTGCTGGAGGGGTTGAGGAACTGGGAGGCCTTACTTCCTTCTTGCAGCTGCTGCAGCTCAGCTACAGCGAGTTGGGGCCCCCATGTTTTGCTGGTGGTGGGGCCCACAGGACAGCAACGCTGATATCGAGTTGTTTTGCTGTGTGGCAGCAAAGCAAAAACATAGCAGCAGCAGCACCTCATCTTCCTCAGCTGCAACATCCCTCCTTCATGTCCTTCTTCCTCTCTCCTCGGCTGGGGGCCCCCACAGTGCTTCCTATACCTACCAACAGCGGCGCTGGGGTTTTGTTGGAGGCCCGTGGGGGCCTCGGGGGTCCCCCGTCTGCCCCGTTCACAATATCTCCTCTGCTGCAACAGCTGCCATGCAGGAGCCTGCAGCAAATGCTTCGTCTGCTGCAGCTTCTTGCTCGAGCACTGGTGTTTGGGGGCCCCCACAGCGACTTGATAGACCAACTGGGGCCCCTGGTGCTGCAGCAGCTAAAGACAGCCTTTAACCATCGGCTGCCTGTACACTGCATAGAGTCAAAACATCCCTTTGGGCAACACCAAGAGGGGGCCTCTGCTGTCTCCTTTCTCCCCTGCCGCAGGCTGCTGCTTCTGCTAGACCCAAGAACAGACTTAGGGGGATCGGAGCAAGGATGCAGCCTTACCCTAGCAGCAGACGAAAATGAAGAGACAATCTGTGTTGCAGTCAAACACTCAGGTAGCAGCAGCAAAACAAACCTTTAATAAATGAACATAAACCACCCACATGTGGGGGTCTGCAGATGATAATTTAGGCCTGCTGCTGCTGTTGCTACTGCTATAACTATGTCAGTTGTTGCTGCTGCTGCTGCTGTACCTAAGCACAGCTGCTCCTACCCGCCTGCTGTGCAGGGGCGGCAGCGGTTGTGGATGGGTTTCGCAATCTGTCTGCACTGTTGCTGGAAAGCACGTGACAGCAGCATCTGTTGCTGTTGTTGCTTTCGTTGTTGTTGTTGTTGCTGCTGCACGAATCGGAAGGTCTTTCGTCTGCATGTCTGCAGATGGCCCCACAGGCTGCCGACTGGAAGTGCTTGACTGCGGGCGGGTGTACATACACTTCACGGGCAGCAGCCCCCGCTGGGGTTTCCGTTTGCTGCTGACGCCTCTGCTGCAGCGGTTAACAGATACCCAAGCTCTTAGAGGTTGCAACCTCCATCTTGCTGCTGAGCTCTCTCTGCTGCTTGCTGCATGCACCCCGAAGCATAAACACGCCGGCAAGTGCAACCATGTGGACAAAGCCCAAGCACTAAACTCTTAACACTATGAGGCACCGTCAGCGTATCAACGGCGTCATTGTCTAGGGTTTACGATTTGGGGTCTAGGGTTTGGATGTGTGTGCTGCAGCTGTATTATCTCCGATCGTCGACTTCCTGCTGCAGCAGATGTCCTCTATGGCGGACCGGCCTGCTGCAGTCTCGCTGCTCCGGCAAATGTTTCACATGCTGCAGCCTCTTTCTTACTCCCCTTCAGCAACTCTACGTACTGCTCAGGAGCAGCGGCTGTTGCAGCTGCAGCTACAGCAGCTACAGCAGCAGCAGCAGCAGCACATGGGGACTGTTGAGATACCTGAGACGTTCGCCTGCTGCTGTGCCGGAGGCTGCGGAATTTCTCTCCACTGCAGCAGTAGCATATCGCACCATCTGCTGCAGCTGCGCGCAGAAGCTGCTGCTGCATTCGGATGTCTGTATAGCAGGCTAGAGGCTGTAACGAACAGCGGTTTTGCTGGCAGCACGAAACTGCTGTCAGGCATGGGGGTTCTTGCTGCTGCAGCACAAGCAGAAGCTACGGGAGAGGAGACAACAGCAAGGGCCCGTCTGTCTCCTGAGGTCCGCACTGCAGCAGACACACACAGAGAGATAAGCAGAGACAGACTGCGAGCAACAGCAGATGTACTGCTGCTGTGCAACGAACACCAACTAGAGCCCCTTATCCGCTGTCTCTGTGGCCTTGCAACTCCTTCTGAAGCAAAAGACAATACCCACATCCACACGCACAAAGATAAACACCAGCAGCAGCTGCAGCTGCATCGCGGAGTAGCAGCAAGCGGCCGTCAACCGACTCAATGTCACACGCCAGCCCATAGAGAGTGCCCTGAGCGGGCGGCTGCTTCACCTTCGCAACGAGCAGAAGCAGTAGGAGCAACAGCATCAGGAGCAGTACCAGCAACAGGAGCAGCAGCTGCAGCAGCCAAGCAGCCTCCGGCTGAAGCAGCAAACACAGATGGGACAGTTGTGCTGCTGCAAGGGAACGACAGCCAGGAGAGAATTCCCCCAAAGGCACCCACACCTCAGGGTGGGTTGCAGCATCAGCAGCAGCAGCAACAGCAACAACAGCAGCACGGGCAGCTTCGCCAAGGAAGCTCAAATCTACTATCAGCCCTCAGTCTAAGTTGTAAGTATCGACAACAAAAATCATTCTTCTTGCTGCCATTCGCTGTAGACGGTTGCCCTGCTGTTGTTTCCCAACGGCCGTGGCCTGAGCAGCAGCAGTATCAGCAGCAGCTGCAGCAGCTGCAATGGGAGCACCTACAACAACAGAATCGTGAGCATGCAAGCCAGCAACAAGAGCACCAGCAGATGCTATCCACCCAGCAGCAGCAACAGCAACAAAATCAGCAAAATCAGCAGCAGCAGCGTGAACAGCATTCGCTTGGCTCCGTGCCCCATGTTTCTTCTGAAGGTTTTCACCCATGTCCTGCTCCACTGCAGCAGCAGGAGCAGCAGCAACAACAAGAGGAGCAGCAGCGTCGTCTCCCCGTTGGCAGTGCCCAAGTGTCTCTTCAGTACCTGACAGAATTTCTGCGCTTGCGACTGCGGCTGCTAAAAGCAACTGTGGGGCCCCACGATATAACCTGCCACCTTCAGGGTCTCCTCTTCTCCCTAGGTGAGGTGTCTCTACAGCTGCCCCCCGAGAGGCAGCTCTGGCTACCGTTGCTGCAGCTCTGCGGACTTGCTGCCGCTGCTCACAATGCACCAGCAACAACAACCAAGGCTGCTATTCTTGCTGCAACAAATGCTTCTGTAGACAGCACAACGCAACAGCAGCAACAGAAGCAGCAGCAAGAACCCCAGCACCAGCACTTATTGGATCTGATAAGTCGTCTTTTGCCTGTGCAGCATCAGTTGTATTATTCTGCGTTGGCAACCAAAGGCATAGGGTACGACTCCGACTCAGCTGCAGCATCAATAGCAGCAGCAGCAGCAGGAGCAGTCCCTCCTGTATCTGCTGCAGTACGAGAGGCACTACTAAAGGAGACACTTCGTGTATGGTATGCTGCTCATAGAGCAGCAACAGGAGATGAAGTCTTTCGTGATTATGTTGAATGGCCCCCTGGTGCTGCTGTCTTCTTAGCTGCATTTCCTCCTCCTGCGTTTACTCGTTGTCTTCTTACTGCACACTTCTTAAAGATATTTGCCTTACAAAGGGATGCATCTCTGGAGCATCACAGGGCAACATTAGCAGCAGCTGCTGCTAGTGGTGGTAGTGGTGGTATGGGTACTGGTTCTGCTGCAGCAGCAGTTACCCAGACACAGCTGCTGCAACTGGGTGAAGAACGAGCAGGAGATGATGCAGAACCAGTTGCAATGGATGACGCAGCAACAGCATTGGTCACAGCAGCGCATGCACCCTCGACAGCAGCTGCAGCAAGGAGACAAATACTCACACCGCAGCAGACACTGGCTCCTCTCTATCGTTTGCTTTCAATTGTTCCTCTTGCGCCATCACAGGATGCTGCTTGTGCTGCTGAAGCCGCTGCAGGCATTTGTCTCCGCTTCCCTCCTGCAGGAAGGGGAACAGCAACAGCAACCGCGACAACGACAGCAAAAGCAACAGAAGCAAGAGAAGCAGCAGGCATCGACCCCGACGGATCTGGCGGGGAGACAGCGCAACTAGAGTGCACTGGCGAGAGCAGAAGCGCCTCCAGCCAAGGAAACAGCAGCTGCAGCACCAGCAGCACCAGCAGAGATGCTGCTGCTCAGATTCTTCAGTCTCACTTTGCTGGTGTTCAAGAGGTGCTGCTCCGCTGCGTTGCGGAGACAGCAGTGAAGCAGCACCATTGGCCCGTCTTCCCTGGTGTCGTTCCTGTGGGCGAGTGGCGCGCAACACCTTCTTCGAGCAGCAGCCGCATCTGCTGCAGCAGCAGCAGCAGCAGAAGCAGCAGCCAGAGCAGCACCATGGAGGAACCAGAAAATGAAGCAGAGAGGGCCCTCGCTGCATGCAGAGAAGATTTTCCTGAGCCCGTCGTGTCGGTTGCTCTTGACGCAAGACCCCCCTGTACCTTCTCCTTTTGGTTGTATGACGATGAAGAAGAACCACGCATGCTGCCGCCGCAGCAGCAACAACAGCAGCAGCAACAACAGCAACAGCAGGAGCAGCAGCCGATCGGTATGGCTTCCCCACTGGACACCCCACAAAACCCAAGGAGCAGCAATTTCAACAGACGAGCCCCCGGGCTTTCTTCTGCTGCTGCGGTTGCTGCGGTGCAGCCAGTGCCACCTCCATCCGGAGCTGCCAACAACGCCACAGGCAGCAGCAGCAGCAGCAGCACAGGCAGAAGCAGCACAGGCAGCAGCAGCAGCAGCAGTGCGAGAACAGCGAGCTTAGGTAGCGCCCCCGAAACAGCAGTCCTTCGCTGGAGGCCCATGAGGCAGCGATCAGAGCTGGCGGTGACGGAGGCCCAGAGTCCTGCAGCAACACTAAGTCGAAGCCCTCAGCTGCAGCAGCAGCAGCAACAGCAGCAGCAGGTGCCACGGCAACCAAGCTGGCACAGCTCCGGAGACCTCACCGGCAGACAGGCAGCAGGAGGCCCCTCTCGGGCCGACCTTGCATACTCTGCGTCCCCTGCGCAGCATCCTGGGGATTTTCCTCCCCTGTCAAGCCCATGGAGGCAAGACGAAGCAGCACATGCAGCAGGGGCAGCAACAGGAGCAGCATCAGGAGAAACAGCAGGAGCAGCAGCTGCTGCTGCTGCTGCTCCTGCAGGAGCAGCAACAACCGCAGCTGGAACAGCTCCTTCCGTCGCACCGCAGCAGGACACGATACATCGCCCCCGCCCAGCAGCGGGAACAGACGATCCCAGAACCCCGCACAGGGACAGGGAAGGCCCTCGTCAACAACATATACAGCGAAACTGGCATTCTGTGCAGCAGCCACAGCAGCAGCAGCATCAGCAACAGGAGCAGGCGATCGTCGGGGAGGACCCGGTCCTTACAAATTCGGGGGAAGTGTGGCAACGACTTGCCCCAGATCCCATAGCGCTTTTGGAGATGGAAATGCAGCGGCAGCAGCAATTGAACCTTCAGCAGCAGCAGCACCGGCAGCAGCAGAATATGGAAGGGGAGCAGCAGCAAAACCTCGCGATACTGCAGTACCACCAAACCCTGGAGATGCAACACCAGCAGCAGATGGAGACACGGCAGCTGCGGCAACGGGTAGGCCACCAAGGCGTGCAGCAGACAGACATGCAGCAGCAGCAAGAGGGGCAGCAGCAACGACAGCAGCAGCCACAACTAGCGTTCATGCAGCGGCAGCAACTTGATGTGCCGCAGGAAAGTCAGCTGGGCCAGCAGCAGGAGCAGCAGCAGCAGCAGGATTATCACCAGCAGAGCCCGGCAGAGTTACACATTCAGCAGCATCATCATCAGCATCAGCAGCAGCGTCAGCAACAGCAGCAACAGCATCACCAGCAGCAGCAGGGCCAGGTAGCGTCTGCGTCTTCTCCCGGTGACCTCGAAGGAGGGGGGTTCAGCCGCCCCAGCATGCGTCGGTACCCTCCTTGGACAGCAGCAGCAGACAGCGACTCTCGAGGGGGGGGGCCTCCCCCGTCAAGGGTACCCCTAGAGGGAGGGCCGCGTGCATCACTACCAGGATACCGCCACCCAGCAGTAAGGAGAGGAGGAGGTCTTACTCGCATCTCTTTGTTACAAGGAAGTCTTTTCCCTCAGCCACAGTACAGACAGCTGCTGCAAAGAAGAGGAGATGTTGCTGCATCACCTCCTCCCTTCGGGCCCAGCAGCAGCGACAGCCCACAGCAGCAGCAGCAACAACAACAACCCCAACAAAACCACAACAACAACAACAACCAGCACCAGCACCAGCAGCAGCAACAGCATGAGGAAGCAGGGGGTGTCTTGGGTGCAGCAGAGCGGTACGTCGCTTCCCGTCTGCGACGGATGGCATTAGCTGAGGCTGCAGCGGATGTGCCAGCTGCCGCATGCAGTTGCAACAACACCAGCAGCAGCAACTATGAAAGTACCAGCAGCAGCAATGACATCAGCAGCAGCAGCAACAGCGAGGGTTGCGGGTGTATAAAGAATGGCGGGGGTCGTGTTTGGAGACTTGTATGGCTACGAGGTTGTGTAAGCGAGACATTGTCTGTGTGGCTGTCTCCTGATAACCAAGTGTATGCGCAGCTACGGGTACCTCTACAGACAACAACATATATAGATTACCAAGCTGTTGCTGCTGCTGTCAGCAGCAGCCGACCTCTTCAGCCTCGGCGATGGACGCACATCAGTGTCTGTGTGGGGGCCCCCCTAGAGAAGGGCCTCCGATTAGGGGTACGACTTTATATGGACGGTATAGAAGTTGGTACTGCTGCTGTCAGCAGCAGATGCTGCCTCTGTCAGGGGCCCCTCCCCTTCTGGGTAGCTCCGTTGCCTCTGCCGCTAAGACTTGAAGAGGTGCTCAAGCCCCCTCCCCATCCAGCCCAGCAACAGCAACAGCAACAACGGATGCAGCTCAACCCCCGCTGTAGGGCACACTCTATGAAAGGATTCATGGGGGACTTAAGGGTTTACTCTTCTTGTCTTAGCCAGAGAGAAATCCTTAAGATAGTTGAGGAGACAGATCAAGCTTACGGTAAGGAACGTATAGCCCAGCTGCTGCACTGCATGCACCAGCATGACAGGTCCGACTGTAACTGCAGCATCGGCAGCCGCAACGCTGAAGGCTCCAGCTGCAACGATACGAGCCTCCCAACTACCGAACGGAACCCTGACCAGCGCAGCGCAGCGGCAGTGCCGACTCAGCAGCAGCAGCAGCAGCTACAGAATACGCGGAGACGTCAAGAAGATGAGCTGCTGTTGTTGCGTCTTTGCCACGATGAAGAGCTGCTGCAGCTGTGGAGGATCCATAGACACTGGAGGTATTGGGAAGACACAAGAAGGTCCCTGCCTGCTGACCCCAGCACAATCCTGTGGCGGTACTCAGGTATACGGACACCCCTTCACCAGCAGCAGCTGCAGAACCCCCACCAGCAACAGCAACAGCAGCAGGAGCAGCAGCAGCAGGAGCAACAGCAGCAGCAATGCAAGGGGAAGTGGGAACTGGTGTTGCAGCACGTCGAGTTGCTGCTAAGTGAAGAGGTGTTGGGTGGAGTTCTGTCCGTCTTAGAAGAGGGTGGCCAGGCAGTGCAGCAGCAAGGAGAAGCAGGAGCAGCAGGAACAGCCGCAGCACCAGCAGCAGGTGGCAGCGGCAGTGGCGCCTCTGCAGACGGACGAGTCGACATTGACAGCGTCCACCACTTTAGAACTCTGCTGCAGCAGCAGGACTTTGGATCGCAGCAGCAGCAGCAGCAAGTGTCAGCGCTGCGGCGGCGGCTAGCAGCAGACTCAAGCCTGTGGGGTCTTGCTGAGGTGTCTCTGCAGATCTGCAGATCTTTAACACAACTCCTTGTTTCTATTGGCCCTTGTCTTGAGCTCTTCTCTCCTCGGCCTTCTTCCTTCTCCCTCACCCTTCAAAACTTCAGGTCCAGTTCCCTCCTGCTGCTGCTACAGTCCCTGCTGCCGCTGGTGTTGCTGCTGGCGTTGCTGCTGGTGGTAGTTTTTCAGGGGGTGTCGATGCCGCAGCAGCGGCCGCTCTCAGCTATTCGACTGCTGCTGCTGCATCTGCATCTGCTGCTTCTGCTGCTGGCGAGGGCACGACACGACGCGCTGTACTCCTGCTAGCAAACGCAACGCCTGCGCGTTGTCTGGCAGTTTTGATATGGGTGGAAATATTGGGTTATATTTCTTGTTTAGGATTTAGGGTTTATGTGGTTTAGGGTTTAGGGTTTAGGGTTTGTGTGCAGACACCTAATGCCGGCTAGCCTGAAGCACTGGCTGGTGAATCTTTGTCTCTCTTTGTCTGAAGACCCTCGGGCTGACGGCCGTCTCCGTGTTGCTATTAACAGGGCCCGAGCCTTAAGAGCTGGGGAGAGAGCAGCAGCAGCAGCACCTGCTGCTGCCGCTTCTGCTGCTGGTGCTTCTTCTGAGGCGGGACTTCTTGCAGCAGCAACAACTACCGCTGCCACGTCAACATCCGCAGCAAGGGCGCCTGCTGCTGCTGCCTCATCTACCAGCACCAGCAGCAGCAACGGTCTAAAAGATGTAACGATGCAGCTAGCAGCACAACTTGAAGGTGTATCTCCTTGGCTGCTGCGGCGCAGCAACCGCGTATGGTTTGTTTCTTATGAAGGGGAAGGAGGGATTGATGCAGGGGGCCTCTATAGAGATCTCTTCTCTCATGTTGCTGCTGAGCTGCAGACACAAGGCAGCAGCAACGCTTTGCTGCTGCCGTCAGCAAATAGCAGAGGATTCGGACAAGATCAGGTTAGCCATCCTTCTTCCCTCCTGCTGCTGCTGCTCTTGCTGCTGCTGCTGCTGCTGCTTGTGACCAATCGTTAAGAATCAATAAGCAATATCACCTATCCTGTTGCTGTTGTTGCTGTTTCCTTTTCGGCTTCCCCAGTTGTTGTGTCTGTTCCCTGCCTTTCTGCAGCGTTTTGCGTCCAACGGTGTGTGCTGCTGTTGCTTTTGCTGCTGCTGTTGCTGCTGCTGTACAGGACATGTGGCAGTTGAACCCCAACGCTCTATCTGCTACTCGTCTTGGAGCGTATAGAGTCTTAGGTCGCTTAATGGGTGTTGTGCTGCGGGGTCGGCTAAGCTTAGCATTAAATTTGTCTCCTCTTGTATGGAGACCCCTTGTAGGGTTGTCGCCTTTACCACAAGATCTAGAGGCAACAGATCTTCTTGCTGTTCAGCTACTTAAAAAGGTAAATACAGTAATATTATCATCTCCTCCTCCTCCTGTTGCTGCTTCTTCCGCTGCTTCTACTGGTCCTGCTGCTGCTGCTAATCCATGCGGTGGTTGTGGGATGGTGCTACTACTCTTACTCCTGTTAAGCCTGGTTCAAACTACTACTCGAGACTCTGCAGCAACAACAACAGCAGCAGCAGCAGCACAAGGAATGAGGCACAGAGACAATACAGCAGCAGTACAAGCATATAAAGGGAAAACACCTGCATCCTTCCCTCATCTATGTTGCAAGCTGTCTTCTGTAGCACGAGCAGCACCAGCTGCTGCTGCTGCTGTTCCTGGTACCACCTCTGTTACTCATGCGGTCACTGTTGCTACGCATATTACTATTGCGGCTCTCTCTATGGCAGGTAGTGCTACTGCTACTTATACTGTTGCTGCTGCTGCTGCTGTTGTTGGTGCTGCGTGCAGGTGCTGTCGTTGGAGTCTGAGGGTATTGATGCTGCTTCTTTTGCTGCTTCCTTCCCTTTAAGTTGGTGTACAACATCAGCAACCGGAGAAGTTTTATCTTTAAGGGAAGGAGGGGAAAGCGAAAATGTTTCGTGGGGCGATCGTGCGGTCTACGTACAACAGGCAATGGCTCTTAGACTTGCAGAAGGACAACTACAGGTGAGGAAAGCATAACGAATATATATATATATATATATATATATA